TAAACCCTAAAAACTAAACCCTATGTGACTCAAGCCCATATCCGGAGCCATGTGATCCTGAGCTCTGATGCGCAGTCCTAGCCCTATGGATCCAAATCGCTCAAAGAGAGTGCCACATATGAGCTGTGGTCTAAACTCCTTAAAGCTGGTTATACAGGGTGTAGGGTTTAGGGTTAGGGTCTAAACTCCTTAAAGGCGGATGTATAGGGGACTATTATAGGGGTTATAAGGGGGAAACTAGGAGTTTGCGCTATAGGTCATATGAACAACTTTATGTAAAGAAGGCAATGGTTAGATGCCCAAGGTAAGGTTGCCCTGGATGGGGACCCTAAAAGTAGGTAGTATTTATGCGCATTAAGGCATTATGGCCTGAGATATCTAGTACTTATAGCCTTCGGTCCCCTAAACCCCGAACTGTAAACCACTGTAGACCACCCCTAAACCCTGAGCCCCTTTACCCTAAACCCCAGACCCTAAAACCCTACCCGCTTAGAATACCATGAATTCAGGACCTCAGCCTCCGGCAAACGTGGGGCCCCGCTGCAGCAGCACTGCTAATTTGCCACGGAACCTACGGCTTTCTATGGGCTCCTCGTCTGGGGGTTTAGGGTTTCTTAGGGTTAGGGTTCACTCAGGAGCTCCTTTTGGGTTAAGGGATTAGGGCTTAGGGTTTTGGGTTGACTCAGGAGCTCCTTTGGGTTTTAGGGATTTGGGATTATTAGGGATTAGGATTAACTCCGGAGCTCATTTTGGGTTCAGGGATTAGGGCTCCCTTTTTGGGTGGTCGTCATTTCTGTCAGTATATAGAGGATGGTTATAGGATACTGCCCATCAAGGTGCTTCATAGAAGCCTCTTGGTAGGGTTTGGGTTGAGAGTTGAGACCGCGTTTCGTCGTCTGACAAAGCAACCCCAAAACCCAAAGCCCTAAACCCTGATCGGGAGTCGAATTGCCCAGGGTTGCCGACTCCCAGATGCGGAAGGGTCGGCATGGCAGCGAAAAGCCCTCAACCCCAGATCCCTTAATCCTATGTAGGGTTTAGGGTTTAGGGTTTTAGGGTTTTAGGGTGTAGAGTTTAGCGTTTGGGGTGTTGGGGTTTCAAGGTTCAGGGTTTAGAGTTCCTTTGGAAATTGGTATGTTTGTGCGGGCTGGATTCCCCCTTGGAGTTTCAGAACGGTGCTACACTGGAGGTCTCGGAACCCTAAACCTCAAAGCCTCCAACCTCAAGCTTCTCAGCATTTCAGGTTTACAAGGACATCTACTTTCCTGATGCCAGTTGGACGCAGGCAACCAGCGTGCTGGGCTTCATTTCCTGCTTTGTTTATCCGTTTCTAGTTTCCAACTTGGTTCCTGGGGTTCAAAGGGTTTATGTTTAGACTGAATTCATTCATATCACGTTCTTCTCGGGCTCACTTTTGATAGAGAATATGTGGTCGCGACCGTAAAGTATCCATGAATCCTAAACCGACAACCGTACTTTTGGTGGACAGTCTACAGTCTACAGATAGTTTTGTGGGCTACTTGGAGCCCCGGGGCATGCATCTAGTTTAAGAGGAAAGAACTCGCCAGACCTTGTAATCTAAACCTTAAACCCTTATTCCGTGCGTCAGGATTTGAATTAAGTGGGTCCGGGTTGCGTGAACAGATTCGAGAGGTTTAGCGTGTCGGATTTTCCAAATGACGGAGTAAACTTCAAGTTGTACCAGGATCCCGCTTTAAACAAAAGGTGTTGGGCTCAGTGGGGCCTTACCCCAAACCCCACATATTGTTGTACATCCTCAGAGAACCCCATATGCCCCTATGTAATCCCATAGAACTCATATAACAAACTTCACCTGGAACCTCTAAAACCCATCATCAAACCCTGAGTACGAGGGTCAAGACGACTTGGTAAGTAGGCTAATAACGGGGATGACTGGGCTTACTGTATATATATATATATAGAGCTTGTAGGGGTGGAAAGTATACTCGTAAATTCCCCCTGACCCTCCAAGTAATCCTGCAAAACCCAGGCTTTAATCCCCACACCTCCCCTAAACCCTAATGCCTGAACTCCTAAAAATTCTAAACCTCAACCATCGACAAATCCGTCAAAGCCTAAAGCACCAAGGCTTGGTTTCTACTACACACCGATGCTTTGCCTGGTTTCCCCATGGTTCCACTTCAGCAGCTTCGGCATTGGCTCAGATTCTCGGATGGAACGCCTAAGGTTTCAGGAAAACTCTAAGCCTAAACTGTGGAAGATTTGGGGTTTAGGGCTGAAGATTCGGGATTTAGGGTGTAGGGTTTAGATGGAATTAGTTTGGGATTTAGATGGCTTAGGGTTTAGGCTTTAGGGTTCAGGAATTAGGGTTTGGGTTTTAGGATCCATGGGTTTCTGGCTTCAGGGTTCAGAGTCTAAGTTTGGGTGTTTTTGGGTGCTCAGGAATGCAAGTTTCAGGTTAGGGTGTTGGGTAATCCCTCTTCCTAATCATGAAATGCCACCACTCCCCCACCTATTAACACATCCTTTGTTACTTTACCCTAAGGGTCCAAGGACCCAAATAATAGGGTTTCAGGCCCCAAGTATAATGATATTAATGGTACTTGGGCCCTAAACCCTCATTATTTGGGTCCTTGGACCCTTAGGGTTATTTTCCAAATTGCAACAGCGAAAGCTATTGACAGGGCTGGAGGGGCTCACTGTCAAGGGGCCCCTGTTTCAAGTGCGGGCAACGTTGAGGGCGTGTACTTTACGAGAACCCTTGAACTTATGTAGTGCATGTTTTGCTATGGTTTGCCGTTAAGGAACTTAAATTTAGTGACTCTGATGAGCAACCCCTAGTCCTTACTATACACCCAACTCATGGTAATTTAAATTAAAGCTCCTTAACTACTATGGTTGACGTTGCCCGTGTAGGGTTTAGGGTTGAGGGCCCCGGGAAGAGCCGACGGTTGTTGGTCCCAACTGAAGACTCGCATGGGCTTCACTACTAAGACCCCACCTCCTAGACTACCCAGGGTTTAGGGTTTAGGTTTGGCAAAGACTACCCCGTCTAGCTTCCCCCTTCATTTTTTAAGCTTCATTAGCCGTAGTTATCGGTGAGTCACCTTTCAGAACGGGGACCCCTAAACCATAAACCCTAAACCCTCAACTCTAAGCCCTAAACGGGGACCCTTGGGTTGGGTAGTATAGGGGTGGGAAGTAGGGGGGCCCAAGAGGCTCCGGTTTTGTGAGAAAACTTGCAAGTCAATATGATGATTTCCTGAAATTAGGGGAACTATTCTGGCGTCTGGGGTTTAAGGTTTAGGGAGGTCCTCATAGTAAGGACTACAGCATGCTGGGGTCCATGTTGGGGTCGGCCTATTTATGGAAACTACGAGGTTGCCGTAGCAATCGTAGCTCACCTTTAAGTTTTCCAGTACGTCCAAGGCTTTAGAGCATCCTATGCATTTTGACTGCTGCAGAACCCTGCCCATACACTCCTTTCTCGAATTTGTTGCATTTTGGCAGGGGGCTGATTTTGTATACCGCCAAAGTGATGGTAGTGGATGATAAAGTACAACCCCAGAAGGAGCTACATGCTGTGGGAGCCTGAGGGTAAACAGCGTCGTGCTCAGGAGCCTTGGATACTAGCTGCGGGACTCTGGTTCTACATCGTCGGCATGTTCTACCACTACTGCGCAGACTTACAGAAGCATGTGAGCCCCCGATGAAAGTCTTGCCAGTTTTTTTTTTCAAGGAGGCTGTCCAAGGGGGTAGGTACCTTTACCCTCCAATGTAGTTCCTTTGGTTTTTGGGTTAGGATTCTTATTAGGGTTACTAAAATGGTACTACATTGGAAGGTCTAGGTAAGCCAGTACTCCCTGAAAACCCCTAATCTGCCTGCTACTCTCCAAGGTCGCCTAATGTTCCTCAGTATCGACACCCCTTGCACCTACCCCACTTCTGGGCGTTTTAAATTCGTTTGAGGACGGACTTCCTTCTGATGCTAAGAAAGGGATTATGCAGCCTACTACTAAAGACCGCTTCTGAGGACTTTCTGTGGGTGCATGCAAACGGGTTTGTTTTGTGTAGGTCTTTCGGTGAAGATTCTGTTGCGGCCTGTCACGCAACCCTGCAACCGAAAAAAAGGCAGAGTCCAATGTCAACCCGATGTTAGCCTGCTTCATCAGATCAGACTCAGACAATTGGGTCTGTGAGTCTCTAAGTTGTGCAATTCATGCTGAGGATTGATTCTAGCTAGCGTCACCATCCTCTTAAAGCGCCGTTTTCAAGCTGCAATCGCCGGTGCAACATTCTCATCTGATGGCTTCGAGCTTTGATGCTTGTTTCTTGTGATGCTTGTCATCCTTATGCTCATATATTTGGTAGGTGCAGCTCGCTTTCGAACGACCTCGCCGGCTCATCACCACAGAGCTCTTCGCACACATGCGAAACCCGAACTACTTTGGGGAGATCATGATCTACACTGGCTTCGCCGTTCTCTCCATGAACTGGCTACCGTTGGTAATCTTTGCAGCTGTGTGGTTGCAGCTGTTCGTTCCCAACATGCTTGCCAAAGAAGCGTCTATGTGCCTGCGCCCTTGTTAGCCAGACTTTCTTCGTCCCCTTGAAACCTATTTTTTTCTGACTAAGGAGTCACTGGGGATACTAGGTATGTGATGGGGTTTAAAAAACAGGAGACTACTCGGCTAAGGATTCTGCAGTGGCACTTTTGCGCCATTCCCGCCCTAAGACCCTCAGACCCGACGCCCCAGAGTCAGCTAAACGTTGCAGCAACCTAAACCATGGGTGTAGAGTCTAGGGTTTAGGGTCCTTAAGCCTAAGCCCTCCAGGTCGAGGCATGCAGCTTGGAAGGATTGGGTTGCGCGCACGGGGCCTCTTGGATCCATTGGATGACCTTTTTTAGAGCCTACCTGGACCCTGGATGTCCTTCCTTTTTGGGTTTATGTCCCATAAATTTGTAGGGTATACCACAAAAAAGGTAGGACATCCAGGGTCCAGGTAGAGTTAAGGGTTTCAAGTTTACTCAGACTCTCCTATGTAGTTCTTTTTTGGGTGCGGTATTATAATCCCTTACCAGAAAATCATAACAGACCCAAAAACCAACTACGTAGGAGCACCTGGGTAGGGCCGGCCTTTCCGGATTTAGGGCTTTAAAGTGCTCAGTGGCTAGGTGGCAAGGGTTTCGGGATTGAAACCGCTGGTCTTAAACCTTCAACCCATGAAACCATAACCGCAAACCTTATACCGAAACCTTGAAAATCCCCTAAGTTTGGCGCATGCTTCGTCTAATCGTGATGTGGTTTAGGGTAGGGCTTCGGGCTTAGTTTTCAGGGCTCAGGGTTTAGGTTCAGGGTTCAGGGTCTATGTTTCATGCGGGATTGAACGTTCAGGCAGATATCGCCGCACCCGCAGATAAGCTGCAGTGGGTTTAGGCTTCCCCTGAAGCGGCAACAATGAAGCCCTATCGGCTCTACCTAGAGTATTCCAATACCTTAACAAAGGTAAGGATACCCAAAGATAAGGTTCGATTTGCACATGTACGTTGGTTACGTTGGTACACTAAATTGAACCCTAAAACCCTAAACCCCAATCGGACCTTTTTTTACCAGTCTGCTAAGCTTAGGCTGGTCTACCCGTGGCTGCCATCCTTGCTGAAGGCCGTATTCAATGCACCACGCAGTTCATGGTTTAATGTACACCCCTGATTAATAAACTCTCTCTCTCTTGAATGGAGAATATAATAGGGATCCAAATATTCAGGCCCTTAAAAGGAAGGGGGTTATGAATCACAAGTCGACATTAGGGCTCAGCCAGTTCTGCTGAACGCCGGCTGTAAATACTAGAGCCTTCAGAATAATGACATGAGCCGTAACCCCTACATTGACCTGAGTTTAAGATTTTGCACATGCCCAGATCTTATAGAAGCTCAAGCCCTGAGGAGAAATGCATACTAATCATACCAGCCCCAATATGGTGGTTTCCATAAATAGGGGACCTCAATATAGACCCCAAAATATTATAATCCTTGTTATAGGAACCCCCCCAAAAAGGTACCCCTAATTTTGGCAAACCCCCATGCAGTCCCTACAAAGCTGCACTGACCACTTCATTTTGGATTTTCCACTTGGACCCCCTGGTGCCAGTAATGGAGAAGCACATGGTGGAAGATTTGGAAGCTGAAATAGTAACCGGGATTGTAAAGCCCTAAACCCTAAACCGCAAGCGTAACGTGGGCTCACGTTACAGCGGTTTAGGGCCCAGGGTCCAACCCCAAATCGTAAGACCATAACCTTGAAACTAGTTTCAGTTTCCAGGCGAGTTATACCTTGCATTTGTGCGCTCAGAGTTGTGTGAAGGAGTTCTGCGCCAACGCCCTGTCAAAGAAGTCCTCCGTCGCGCACGCTGGGGCAGCTTAGGAATAAAGCGCTTGGCAACTTGGGCTGGTTTGGCTGACGGTTCTGGACTTACGTACTGTGTTTACATGCGGAGTGGGTGTGTTCAACGCAGGCAGTTTGATCGGAGTATTCACGGGCATTGTGCAAGGATCCACTCCACTCCCCATCTTCCCCCTCTGCAAGCACCAGCAAGATTATCGAGATTGTGGAGTATTTGAAGCTTCAGAATCAGTTTAAAGGATTATCATAGAGCCCTCCAAAAGTACCCCCCCAAATTTTGAACCCTATTAAGCCTTATTAAGCCTTATATAGTCCTTATTAGCTCCTTAAACCCCGGGGGGTTACCTCTGGGGAGTGTACTATTGTAAACCCCCTACAATTGCAGTACAGGCCATGAGCTGCCAAGCCTTGAGTCACAGAGCGGCTGCCGGTTTCTAGCAATCACCATCCTCTAATAGTAAAACCCCCCATCACCACCCCCCAAAAGGCAGCGGCAATAAACGCAAAACAGTTCATTCGTCAACATGAAGGGAAGATTTTTGCTGGGCTGGTGAAGGGGGCTAGCCTTTGGGGGAGGTGATTTTTCAAGGGTTGTTTGGCAACCCCGCCACCAAATGTATTGACCCTGTAGCAGTCATAGGATACTCAAAGGCTCCAATTTGAGGGATTGGAGCACCTTAAGCCTTAAACCCTGAACCTTAAGCCCTAAACCCTAAGCTCTTAGGGTTTTGGGTTTAGTTTATGGTTTAGGGTTTATACCCTATATCCTGAACCCTATATCCTGGTTGGGGTTACCAAATGATCCTTCTCAGTTTCATCTGACTGTGGCGTTGCTGCTACCTTGCGGCCAGCAGTGGCTGTTTGGACAGCCATTTACAAAGGGATGTAGGGTTTAGGGATTCAGGGATTTACATAGGGTTTAGGGATTTAGGGTTTAGGGATTTAGGGTTTAGGGATCTAGGGATTTAGGGTTTAGGGTTTTAGGGTGTAGGGTCGGGGGTTTGGGGTTTAGGGTGCTTACGTAGCCCACTGTATGCACTGTTTATGGGCATTGGGCAGTGCAAGTATTCATAGAATACCTTAGATCTCCATGGAAGGCCTTGCATACCCAGTTTCAAACGTCAGTTCTGCTAAGCTGTTGTTTCAACTCGGCCAGCGCCCCACATCTTGATTTCAGAAATTGTCTTTAGCAAATCAGGACAAGCAAAATCAGACTCAAGTTCTACCGCTTGATATGAGCTAGACTCTAAACTTCTAGTATCCCCCTGAATGAGCCCTATAATACATCCCTATATAGCCCCCCCTTAAAAGAGTTTTGACTATAGCTCAAATGCAGTTTGGGGGGAGCGGGAGTCTGCAGGCTTGCATGGTAAGCGCGAAAAAGCCACCCCCGCTTCAACCAAAAAAAGCGCGCTGCCGTGGTGTACAATTGCTGAAGCTAACATGGACTCCGTGTGAGTAGTATCTTATTTGGGTTTGCTATAGTTTCTAATGTAGAGTAAGATTACATCCTCCATTTGGGGAGTAGTAGTTTAGAAGAAGGACCACTTTTAGTGGGTTCAACCACCCAAGAGAATGCTACTCACATAGCCACGATTTACGAAGACAGAAATCTACAAAGGGCCCTGCTGGAGGTTCCTTGTTGGGGTTTGAGGTTTAGGGTTTAGGGTTCAGGGACATTGTTTCTTGAAGCCATACAGAAACTCTAAGCCATAAACCCTAAACCACACCTGGTCGCCTGTTCTGTAAAATCTAGTGTTAGGCAGGGGCTTGTTTAAGGCTTCTGGTGGTAACAGAGTCAATCCAGCCAGGGGGGTCGGCACCCTAAACCCTAAAACCCTAAACCCCTAAACCTTAAGCCCTTAAACCCTGAACCGTTAAACCCTTAACAACCCCTGCGCTGCTCCAGCGAGCTGGAGAGCTTCAGAACCTCAAGAATGTGGTTTAGGGTTTAGGGTTTAGGGTCTAGGGTCTAGGGTTAGTTTCTCAGAATAGTGGGCCCAATAAGGGTTAAGGGGTTTAGGGTTTGGGGCATACCCCCAATATACTGGTATGCTTTTATACAAAGACCAAAAAGGACCAACATTTTCAGGAAACCCCCTCATATTTGTTTTCGGCTTTTTGCTCAAAATCCTACAGTGGTTACGTTGAGCTCTACTTAACGCTACACACTTTTCAACCTTCAAACCCCAACTACCTGGACCTCAACCCTGAGGCCTACCTGTAACCCCAATCACCCACAGCATTGCTGTAAATGGCTATACCAACTATTTAGCTGGTAGTTACTACAATTGTTCAACTCAACGGGGCTGCAGGTATCACTCGCCAGATGTAAAAGGTGTAGCTGAAAAAAGCCATATGGAAGTTTTTCAAAACCCTAAACCCTAAACCCCCAAAAAGGGTTTTGGGTTTCGGGAAGTGTATCCATGAGCACCTACCAGGGATACATGGGGATTATGGGTGCCCGGTCTGAGGAGTGTTATGGCGGACCTTCAGGTATCACATACCTTCAAACGCGGAATGAAGGAATTGGGGAAATTGGAAGCTACGATGTTATTGGAGTGCAGAAGAACTACTGTAAGGATCTATCCCTTCATTCCTTGTGCATCAGGCGCTAAACCCTAAGGGTACAAGCAGCTTAGAGTTGCCTTCCAAAATCATATATACCCCAACCGGTATCTGTTTGCTTGCATCTAGGACCAAAAGCGGGTGAACAACTCGTTTCAAGAGCGAACCGAAGCATCTGAAGGCCTGTAAGAACATCCAATAAGAAGAATAGATTATTGGATTGAGAGCTGACTTTAGATAGCAGAGCACATGGTTGCCTGGATGCTACGTAAGAGCATCAACTTCTTCAAAACAAATTTGTCCCCGGGATTCCATTGCCAAAAAGTTTGTCCTTTATTTGACTTCGAAACTAACCATGGAACGTCTGCAGCTCTGTTTGTTGGAGTTGTCTCATCCAGCATAGTATGCGAGGTTCCTAACTTTTCACCTTTGTTGGACAGGAACCGATGAAACCCTAAACCCCTAAACCCTAAACCCCCAAACCCCTAAACCCCTAAACCCCCAAAATCCCTAAACCCCTAAA